CTCCCAGATTTGCAAAAGGATGTACTAAAATCCCAGAGGAGGGGGGGCTGATTTATGGGGAGGGTCTCCCTCGTTGCAAGCCTCCATTACAAGATAGTGTTACCCCAACGTAACTTCTACAGGCACCCACAGAAGTACCCCCCAAACTCGGGACTCGCCCCCCCACCCCTTTGACTACAACTCCCATCAGGCTCCCCCCCCCGTGGTTTTTCTCCCAGGTTTGCAAAGGGATCTCCTGGATCCCGGGGGGGGGGGTGATTTAACACCCGCCTTTACCCCAAACATCTTCCCTCCCCACCCCAGGTCTCTCCCCCCCACCTCTGACTACAAATCCCATCAGCCCCCACCTCTCCGAAGGCCGCGCTCTCCGGGAAGAGAGATGACCCTACAGCTACCCCTCCCCCAGAAGACCTCCGGGACCATTCGCCTGGCCCTGCGCCCCACCCACCCGCCCCCGGGTCCCAGAAGCGATCAAGGCCGCGGGGAGGGGAGGTTGGGAGTTGTAGTCCCCGGAAGCCGGGAGGTCTGAGGAGGATGGGACTCGCAGCGAGGGCGGTGAGAGAGGCAAGGCAGGAGGGGTGCGGGGCGGCGGCGTCCCTCCACGGGGCCCCGAGGCGGAGGGCGGTCCCCGACGAAGCCAGGCCAGGCCCGGCCCGGACTAGGCCTCGCCGCCTCAGGACGCAACTCGGGCCCGGCCGCTCACCCCTCCCGCTGTCGTCCCCCCGCTTTGTACCTTCTTCTTGGCCGCCGCCAGCTTGTTCTGCCTGCTGTCGTCCGCCATCTCCCCGCCCGGACCCAGCCACGTCAACCCGGCAGGCGGCGCGACGCGACGCGGCTGGGTCGGCCCGAGGCTCCACCCGCAAACCGGGCCAGGTCGGCCACCGCGGTTACTGCGCACGCGCGCGGGGGGGGGCTGAGAGGGGACGGGGCGCCGCCGCCGTTGGGCCAATGGGAAGGAAGCCCCGCCCTTTGCCGCCCCCCCCCGCCGAGGCTGAGCTGGCCGGAGACGCGTCTGTATGGCTCCGCGCATGCGCGGCGGAGGCGCATGCGCCCTCTCTGCTTTCAGCCTCTTAATGGCCGACCTTCTGTGGCGTTTCTGCTCTTTTCGTTTTTCTTTGTCAACGACGTACGCGAATCTGTGCTTCTTCTTTCTTCTGGTGTATAGTGATGCAATGAGAAAGGGCTTTTTTTAAAAAAAAAAAGGATTTAAAAAGTCTCAAGGGAAAAGGCGGGGGAAGTCCAACAGAATCAGGCTGTGGATGATGGGACCTGGGGTTGGTGGGTAGTGGGTGGGGGACCGCTAGCTGCCTGGAGCCACCACGCCCATCATCCTCAGAGCAGCAGCTTAGAGACTCAGCAGAGCTTTTTCTGAGGCTGTGCTGGTTTCTGGTTTCTCCCACTCCAGCTCCCATCATCCCCAGTCTGACTCCCAGCTCCCATCATCCCCAGGAGAAAGATGGGAGCTGGAGTCCCCTTGCCCTGAAAAGGTCGGGGGACTAATGTTAGGGGAGAGGGGTTGCAGCTTTGCGATACCCTCCTTCCCAAAAAACCAGGAGCTTTTTGTGAAGAAAGCTGCTTGCTGAGCTGGACTGGGAAAATTTCATTTTTAGGCTTCCCTTGGAATACTATCAGGTCCAACCTGTTGGGTTGCTTTCCACAATTTTATTATTATTTTAAATGCATGTGGTTTTGCCGAATCATCTGACGGGTGGTTTTTGTTTTCCAAAGGGCAAGCCAGCCTAAAGATGTATCTTCACAGCATTGCAGATGCCCTTTTTAAACCTTCCCCCCCCTCCCCAAAAGGCTCGAAATCCCCAATAAATGATTGGGGCAATCCTTTTGAAAGCTGTCTTAGCTAACTGAGGCAAGGCAACCTCTGCCAGATGGCTGCGATCAAAGCTGGTATTTCAGGTTCCTTCCCACTGAGTCATTCTGCAATCAGGTTGGCTCACAAAGGACAGGAATAGGAAGGGACCTCACCAAAGAACATGTTTTTCCTCCGAGAGTTGAGCCTCCCCAAGTTTGCAAAGCCCCAATCCAAGTTGCACTATCCTGCAGGTTGCTTGTCTTAATGGAGCGTGGCAGAATATTTGGCTCTTGCTGGGTTGAATCTCCAAGGTGCTTTGCCAAATACAAAGGAAAGTGCTGGGAAAAACCCGAGAAAGGCAGGGTCTGTGTTAAGAGACTGGACAGCCACTTGTCTGTAAGGGTCTCCTGTTTGAGGCAGGGGGCTGGACTAGAAGACCTCTACGGTCCTTTCTAGCTCTATTTTAGATGGAAAAGGTGGAAGTTGGGCAGCAAATACATCGAATAAATTATTTTTTATTGTAAGGGTGCAACATTTTTGCCTAACAGTTGAGGAATCCGCAATATTGATTTAACCCCATGAAATCCTTCATTGACTTTTAAAGCACCATCTTATCATGGGTGTCAGTGCTTTTCCAAAACTTCTGTTATTCCTAACACTAACTCCTAGTTTTAACAAAAGTCTAAATTTGGTTTTTAGTATAATGCTTGCCTTGCAATTTCCTACAAACCTTTCTGTTTATGGTTTTTAATCTGTTTGCCTTGCCGGTCCCTTTTCACTATTATGTCTTAGCCCCTTGTACGTTGGCCATGGTTTTCTGATGTTTTACTTTTGAATCGTTCCAATTTTTTTAAAATTGTGATCTTTTTATGTCACCGCTTTGACAGAACAGAGGAGATGCATCCCTGCAAGGAATAAGCCAACAGTCTCCAGTTTCTGGACTGCAACCCAGCAAACAAGATGCTTATGAATTATGCATGACTGTGAGCTGCAAAAATCCATTTATTCTTTCTGTTCCCAACGACTGTATGAATCGTCAGATGCAGAAGGAAAAGGAAGGTGTTCCAGATTGCAGTTCTACCACCAGCTTGGAAAATAGTCTGGCTAAACAAGAACATGAATCCCCTTTGACTCAAGGGGGCAAGCATAACCTAGGATTAAGGGGGAAAATCTCCCCCAAACCTTTAATATGGAGGTAAGAGCGGTTTAAATCTTGCACTTTAATTCATTTCTTGGCTAACCTGAGGATTCAGGTTTGTTCTGACTCATCTGAAGAACTTTTAAATTCTTTTCTTGACCTTTCTTTCTTTCTTTTTAAATTCAGGACACCTCAAACAGTCCGTAGAAGTTGTAATGCAAGCTTTAAATCTCCTGTAAGTGTGTATAAAATCA